GTCATATATTCCTCGTTTTAACTTCGAATTGGTCTGTTCTTGAGTCTAAACTGACCGCTTTCCAATGGTACCAATTAGAGTTTCAGATTCCTTTTGTAGCTCAAGATATTCAAATTTTAGTGGAGGGGTGTCGGTTTTTGGCTCGAACCGGGATATGGTTTTTCTTCCTTTAACTTCAAGACTTGATACCTTTGCCTTCAGGACTCCGAATCAAGTGATTCTTGAGTCCATCTTTGTTAATTTTTCGTTATCTTTCCAATGGTGTGCACGGTGGCATCCATTTCAGTTTGAAATGACCATTTTACCCTTTGTTCATTTCTTATCGGGTTTGACATTCTTGCTTCATTGCTTGGCTCATATAAGTTCCATGGCTTCATGGGGAGTCATTTTGGTGCCTTAGGGATGACATACATCTCTAGAGGTCAGTTTACACATTTTGCTTCCGCATTTTGGATCCGTCATCAGGTCACCTTTCGGTCATCACCGACGCACCGGGTTTATAAAACTTGGGCCGTCACATCCAATTACTCAGATCAGCTCTGTACATCATTCAAACTTACTGGTCTCAAATGTTTGTTCTTCCTAGAGCAGTAATAGACCAAATTGACTCTACTTGAGGAAATTCCTTTGCTCAGGCACTGATTTAATAGCCTATGGTTCCAAAGTTGCTTGGAAATTTGTTTGTAGACCCTTAGCTCAAGGCGGTTTAGAATTTCTGCTTAGACCTGTGGTGTAAAGCTTCCAACCTAAGGCTCATCAGGCATATTATCTCTGAAAGGCATCAAAGCCTATGGGTCAACTGGGTGAAGGCTTACCTCATTAGAAGGAAAAGCTTCTGGGACATCAAACCTTACTCATACAACTCTTGGAACTGGAGAAACCTGTTGAAGCTTAGATCTATGTCCAGGAACCAAATAAAGCATTCTGTTGGAGATGTCAGAAACTCCTTTCTGTGGTTTGACTATTGGCTACCAATAGGACCACTCATAGGGACCATTCCAGAGGAAGCAATCCAAAGAACTAATGTGGACAGATATGCACAATTGACCCAAATTGCCAATTTGTTTCTATTGATCAGTGGTCTTTTCCCTCCACTCTAATCTAAGTGCTCTCTGAATTCAATATCAACCTATCTTCACTGCCATCCCCATCTCCAGGGGCTGCTAAAATTCCGTGGACTCCCTCCCCAACTGGCAAGTTCTCCCTTTTCCCACACAATGCAATATTTACATTACCTTGGTCCCTTTGTCAAATGGTGTAAACTCATTTGGGACAGCCAAAATATCCCTAAATTCCCAAACAAACAGTCCATGGCCTTTCTCCACTTCCCAAACAAATTATTCCTTTGTTTTAGAGCCCCAGAATCTATTGATTAACTATTCTTTCAATGCTCTTATTCTGCATCAGTTTGGAATTATGTTCAGGTCATAAATTCCATATAGACCCTGGATATTGGAATGGTTTTTTTGAGTGGTTCAGCACTGGGGGTCAGTGTAAGGATAGGTCCACCAACAAGTGTGAAATGAGGGAGTATGAGGCACGAAATGCGCAAGTGATGTATATGTGTGGTGCAAGTAAGTGTATTCAATGAATGATGTACGTGTGTCAGTGAAATGAATGTGTTGCAGCAAGAAAAACTAATGTGTGCAGTGAAGTGAATGAAGAAGAAAAAGGTAGTGTTGTGACATGTGAATTGTATTGACACATTAAATATGATGTAGGCTAAAGGCGGTGGAATTTGCCAATATATGCATGAATGCACTGAGAGAAGAAGATAAAGAAAAGAAGAGGGAAAAGAATGGAAGAGAGAGAAAAAAGGAAGACAGAAGGGAGTGAGTGCAAAGAGGCACTAAGAGTAGAGAGAGGTAGTCTCATAGAAATCAACAAGTGTGTGGCGATAGAGATGATGAGTGAGTGGGCAGAACACCGATGGCGAGCAGAGGTCTTGTATAGAGTGGTAGATCGTGAAAGGCTCGGGTATCCGACAACATATCATGGGTCCAGTGTTCAAAGTCTCTATCGGTGTAATTTATTATCAGATAGTGTGTATTCTCTACAGTAGTAACATCTCTTCTTTATAATGACAGTGAATTCTCTTCTCTCCGTGGACGTAAGCCAGGTTGGGCCGAATGACAGTAAATATTGTGTTTCTTTGTATTTCTTGTATTATTATTTGTTGTTTGGTGTTCAGGTCTCCAAGTCCGTTTGTGTTTTGCTTCTGCTATGCCAAACGAGGGATATTATTCCTAACTGTCCGGACAGAACAGCCCTCAGGTCTACATCAAAAAGCTGTTGCTACCAAGTTCAGACTACTACCTTTGGCAGGAAAGGAATAACAGCGCATTTAGAAATCAAAGTGCTGGATCATCATATATTATCTCTCTCATCAGAAACACTATTAGGCTCAGATTGGCATCAGTTAAGTTCAAGAATCCCTCCAGTGCCCACATTATAGCCTACGAGTGGGCACAGCATAAACTGACTCATCCTCTTCTCAGTATCGGTGGTCTCATCTTTGATATTCATCAACATGTTTATTGTTTTCTCTTGGCGTGCTTGGTTCCATTAAGTCCCTTCTTTAAGTATCAACCTGAGTTCCTAGCTTTAGAGTCCTTTTGGAGCCTTTTGTGCTTTGCTCCTTTGAAATTTTGAGCTTATGCTCTGTTAAGCATTCTCTTGTCCAGCAGTCTCTGTATTGCTTTGTTTTGTTCCCTGTTTAGAACTCTTTCGACCTTTTAGGATTTTCTCTTATAAGAACTTCATGTCAGCGGAAAAAAATAGAGGGTAAAAATAGTTATCTCCAACTGCTCAATAGCCTAATGTGAAATTCATTTTTTTTTGCAATCCAACCATTAGAATGTATACCTTTTTCATATGAGTCATGCAAACTAATTACTAAACCAACTAAATATAAGTGTTTGATCCATGAACTCATAGTTAATAAAATATTAGAATAAACTATAATTTAAACTGTGATGTTGATGAGACAGTTCTAGATCTCATGCGGGATAAACAAGAGAAGGTGACTTTGTCCAACAACTAGATTGTTTAAAGACGAAATCTATGAAAAGTTATTTATGGAGTGTAAATTAAATTACTCATAAACAGGCATTCATTGCACCATATCCATACTAGATATTTAATCTTATCCTGTTAGACGAGTGGGAAAGAAAATTATTAATAATACAGTATATATGACAGTTCAATCTGACATAGTAATTAAAGACTTAAGGTGCCAACATCTCCTGGAGCCTAAGCACGAGGGACAACATAAGGCACCAGCTTGATCGAGATAAGGTGCATGTGTGATAAAAATGAACATTAAATGAGTATAGAAAAAATACAATAATAAAACATGCAACACAAACTAGTAGATATCAAATTAAGTGACTTTTTCAACACATCAATTTAATGTATAGTTATTTCAATACAAATATATCTTTTTAGTTTGTGTATGAATTTAATTAAATTAATGTTCAATGGTTCAAATCAGGATATGCAACACACTGAATCAAAAGTTCTTCAAAACTCCAAATTTTGACATATCAACTAAGAGGATCGGGTAAATCAATGAGCATAAATCCCTTTTTATATGTACATGCATCAACTAAATCAAATACCATTAAAAATCTGCAATAGCAAAAATCAACAATCATGTTGATTGTAATAATATATCATATTATCATAAGACGCAATTATTGTAAGCAGTTAAACATTAGCTCATGAATTCCTGCTAGTGTAAGATAAGATTAAACAATATGATCCATCAATGTGATGTAGAGTGCGCAAATTAATGGTCTTTTTGTTAATGGAAAACTATATGAATGGATGACTAAAATAAGAGGCGCCTTTTTTATTTTGTTTTTTTGTTTAACTTGGAGCCTGCTAAAAGGCATGAACTGTGGGCTTTACGTGAGTCTGACTGAAAACTATGGAGGGTTAAGGGGCTCTGCCTAAGCCTTGATGAGCCTGGGCTTTTTTGGAGCCTAGATGCACCTTTAACAAGTATGCAGCCAACATTGATCAACACGGTAATTCGATCAGAGGTTGTAGATTATGTATTTGAGTCTGCCAAGGTTCGAAGTTGGACTCACGGGAGCAATGGTTGTGTGACGCTTTTGGTCTAGATTATGTATCCAGACTCAGTAGATTTTAAGAGGCAAATCAAGTATGACAGGCTATCTTTCCATTCCCCATGCTTTTTTCTTTTATAAATAGGTATTCTTGTTGTATAAATTCATATAATTTCTTGTTTAATTTGTTCGTTAGAATTCTCATCTATTTCTATTTTTCTTCATCACTCTGGCTAATGATGACAATAACCATACTTTCTCATACTTTTTCTAAGTTTTATTTATGAAAGGTACAAAATGGATCCGGAATGATAGAGATATGATGTGCAGAAGTTCCAGACTAAAACTTCATTGATTCTCATCATCGAATCTCAAAATTGAAAGGGATATATAGATGAAATAATACACACGGTGCACGAGAGGTCTACCCCAAGCACAACCTTGGTATGACAAAAAAAAAATATATATATATATATATATATAAAATAGCGAATATAATGGTAAGGAAAAAAATTGGAAAAATAAAGATTTTCATAACTGCTTAATTTTCCTACCATACTTCCCTACAAAAAGCAAAGTGGATTTTTAATTTTTTGGGGGATATGCTTTCAAGTTCTTCAAATCGTAAAATGGTATTATCCAACAAATTTCTTATATTCATCCTAATCAAATAAATACAAGAAATTAGTTTTCCTTTCATTCACTTCACTTTTAATTATTCCACTTTTTAGCATTATTTTCTTCTTAATCAATCAGAGCTTAAAACTCAAATGAGGTCTCAGAAATTATACAAATCTTTATGCATTCGGCAACCACTCAACCAAACATCATGTAACATTCAAAATCAATAAAAACCCAAAATTGTAACATGGGTTATATATATATATATATAGAAGGAAACTAGATTATAAAAAAAAAAATAGAAACCTGTTTTCCCATCTTGACGACCACGTAAGGATCACTGCTAGTGACATCTCGGACAGCGAGGTTGACACCTCTTTGGATTCGAACCCTAAGCAGACCCAACAGATTTTCCATTGCAGAAGCTGGTGATTATGGTGATATATATATTATATAAATATATATTCCAATCTCTATCTCTCTATTTCTCTCTCTGTACTTTATTGTATGATTTTATATCAAAAAAATTAACTGAACATACCTTCCAACCAATCCAATATTCCAAATCAATCTTTCTGTAACAGAAAACAGAAAAAGAAATAAATCAACAAATAACATATAAAAAGATTCAAAGATAGTACATTATTCCAAGAACGCAATGCAAATGAAATTGCATTGTACGCACTTTGTTTACGACGTTGAAATTTGGAACTGGAGAGAGAGAAAGGGAGGGGGGTTTTTCAGGGTTGGGAGGAAGGAGGAAAGGAAAGGGAAGAGAGGGATTTACATTTTAGGACAAGGAATGAGCGGAAGATTCGGGAGTCAGTCCCAAAACTGATGGCTGGGAATTACTTACTATACTATGTTCGCTTTTTTGGTGTTGTTTGGACGGTTGACTATATGATATACATATTGCATATATATACGTAACGGTATGTAATGCATGGGAATTATTTACTATACACTTGTTAGAGTAGGGAGCTGGTATCCACTAATTTCTCCTTTTTCAAGAAAAATAAAATTAAAATTTGTAAAAATTGTGTTTAGGAGCATTGAAAAAGTGTTAAAATTGAAATTTGAATAAATTTAGTTCAAGTTTGTCTAACAGAAATCTAAATTTTATAAAGGTGAGCAATACATATAAGTTGTACGTCTGAAATAAATGAATTTAGATGCTCATTGTTAAAAAAAATAATAATAATAAATAAATAAATAAATTAGTAATTAAAAGTGAAAAATATTTGTTTTAAAATGACCTTAAACTCAAGCAAAGATAAATAGTAACCAAATTTTAAAAAATGATTTAGCTTCAGTGACAGCGTTTAATGTCCTAGATACTCTTCTCTAATTTTTCCTTATTTTAATGTTAGGTAGAAAGCAAAAGTAGCCACATGTTTAATAGGTTGGACGAGATCAAAAGATTGATACGAATATTTAATGATCTCTCCATTAGCAACAAATTGATAGTTTGGATTTGAATTTGTAATAAACTTAGTTAAATTTATTCTAATTTTAAATTTAAGGGATTCATTAGGTGCTTTTAAAGGCAACATTAATTAAGTTATTTTTCATTCTAAAGTGATGTCATCGATTTGGTGCTTCATATCGGAAAATATGTACTTCATATAACATTTAAAATAGGTCGAATAGCAAAAAAACCCTCCTTGTGTTTACCAAAAAAAAAAAAAAAATCATATGAATATTTTTAGCAATCAAGCTCCCTCAACTATTATGAGGGGGGTTAATTTAACTAACATTTGTTTGAGTGATTGTATGAGAAATTTTTTTTGACAAAATTACCCTTAATATCAAATATTCATTTGAGTGATTGTGTGAGACTTTTTTTTAGACGAAATTACCATTCAAATCAAAACAATACATTATTACTAAAGTACCCACTATTTACTTTTTTTTTTTTTTAGCGCACTCAAACGAATAGTTAAAAACTTTAATTAAAGACCCAAATGACAATAATCTTCCAAAATGAAAGAAAGATAGTTGAAAAACTTCATTTGGGTTTTTTTTTTTTTTTTGACCTTTTGCATGTGACCAACAATTATCAGTTTGATAATAGACATTTTTTTGTTATGTTTTTTTGGACACATGTTTGCCAGTTATATATAAATTTGAGGTGTTTTTTTTTTAGTTATGAATGTATTCAACTGTTTTGGTAAACAAGTTGGATTCATTTATGCTTATGGATGCTTGGACATATGTCTTATTGTCAGTTATAGTTATTAACGATGGAAGTAAATTTTTTATGGGACAAATGGTTGCTTGTCATTTATGGATGTATTGAAGAAATTTTTTTTTGAGGATGTATCTGAATGTTTTGTAAGTAGGTTACATTCAACCATTGTTTGGTTACTGAAATATGTAGGATTCAATAAACAAGTTATTTTTTTTTATTTATTTTTTTTCACCAAAATCAATTTAAGTTGACATTTGATAAATAACTATTATATTACTATACATATTCCAAATGTAAGAACATTTCGAAAGAAAAAATCAAAGGCCTCGTTTCAAAATCAGAGGCCTCGTTTTAGTGTTTTATACAATTAACCAACCAAAAAAAAAAAAAAAAGTGGTGGGTACTTTAATAATAATGTATTATTTTGATTTTAAGGGTAATTTTGTCTGAAAATTTTCTCACACAATCACTTAAACGGATGTTTCATGTTCAGGGTAATTTTGTCCGAAAATTTTCCTCACACAATTACTTTAACGGAAGTTAGTTAAAATGACCCCCTCATGATAATTGAGGGGGGTTAATTGCTTAAGATATTTATAAGGGGGGGTTTTTGCAAACGGGCGAAAGTCGAGGAGGGTTATTTAAAATTCGCCCTTTAAAATATAACAAATCATATACTAATACGGTATGCGATAATTTATCATATACTAAAAAATAATTAATAAATATGCAACTCAATATTTAATTGGACAATACTTACCTACTCCAATCACAAATGTACATATAGTCTATAATTACAAAGCAATAATGTACTAATAATAAATAAAGAATCTAGATCGAGGCTAGTATTTAATATTATGTCCTTAAGATAATTTACGCCATGCATGGTGTTTACGGTCTCTATGACAATTGTTTTCCGGGGTATAACGGTCTCCATCCACCAGTGACAGTACTCCAAACTCATTGATATAACGAACTTCCTCTGTGTAATACCCTGTCATTTTAAAAGATTTATTAATTAGTGTTTATTTAAATTAATTATTTTAAATTAATGATTATGTGTGTTTAATTAATTATTGTATAATTAATTGTTATATGAAATTTGTGTGTTGTGTTTTAATATTTTATTAGGTATTTAATTAATTTGCAATGGACCGTACTTAGTATTATTTTTGGGACCATAGGGAAGGATTTCTTATTGGTTAGTATTAGTGAGCTTTGATGGGCTAGAGTAGAATGTAAAGCCCATGTATATTACATATTATTATATGGTTTGTATTTAGATTATATTTACTTAATACCTATTATTATATGTACTTATTTATATTGTATATTTATTATCACTAGGGTAATATTAGATGGTTAGTATGTATACTATAGACATATAGCTATATAGATAGAGAAAAAACGAGAGAAAGCAGAGAGGTGACAGAGAGAGATAGACTAAACTGAGAGAGAGAGAGAGGGGGAAGGCAGAACAACCAACCCAAGGCTGCCGGAGTTGGAGAAGAATGTAATGACCCGGTCATTTTCCTCCCTTTCCTTTTTCTGAAATTTTACGGATAAATTTTTTCCGTTTAATTTTCTTTTCTAAGTTCAGTTTCTCATCTCATAGTGTTGTCTTGAGTGCTCGAAAATGGTTTATGAGACTCTTTCATTCGGATTGACAACTTCCTTTAAGGACCGAGTCATTTCCGCATTTTCACTTTTTAGACACTATTCACTATTTCGTCCTTTTCCCTATTCTGTCTTATCCCCATTTGTCAGTTTTTGGCACAACCTCACTTTTCATGCTCGGAGTTAGTTTTTGACTTCATGTGCCTTCATCCTAAGTAGTTTCCACGAAATACGTATCTTTACTTTTGCAAGAAAGTACTCTGGTTGCTCCCGATGTCCATGGGGGCATGGATGCACAGTTCTTTGGAATCTTTTTCTTTTCTTGGGGTGTTTTTCATAAATATCTTTTAAAGTTATTTTATTTTAGGGGTTTTTAAGAAAATATTTTTGGAAGATATTTTCATTTTGGGCCATTAGTGCAGTTTTTACTTTTTGGAGGGGTCATTGTGCAATTAACGAAAGTTATTGCAAAAATACCTCGTTTGGAGCTTGGATCCTCGTATGGGATTCATTTTCACATTTCATTGATTTGTGCACTCTTAGAATTCCGTTCTGGTCGTTTTTCTCCAGTTTCAAAGTTTCTGACCCCGGTTGCCACCGAACTTGTTCAGGGCATATCTCTCTGCTCGGGACTCGGTTTTTGACGCTGTTTCTTCCGTTGTTCATATTTTCTCATTTTGAATCTTTTTCATTCATAGAGTTTTGCCGTTTGAGCGCGTCTGCTCAAAATCTACTTTTTCGGACCCGGCGGGATCTCTTCGGGGCGCTTTTAGGGTTTTTTTTTTTTATTATTTATAAATATGGGGTCTTAAGTCAAAAAAATTGGATTTAACCATCTTTTTCACCTCTCTTGGCCAGATTCCGTGGCAGCCATGGCTGCTACCTTCTCTCTCCTCTTTTGGTCCACTTTTCCTTGGCAAAAAGTCTTTGGCCTTAACGTTTAACGTTCCCCTCGACATGCTCTACCTTTCACCCTTATTAGAACCCGTTTTTGGCCAAATTTTGAGTTCGGGTTTGAAGTCAAGTTTTGATTTTCATGGGGCTTCTTGGGGATTCTTGTTCATCGCGTTGTCCTCAACAAAATCCTTCGGTATCGTCAGATTCGGTGCATTTTTATTTCGGTGGGTTTTTGAGATTTTCATCTCAAATTGAGGTAAGGGGTGTTATAATTTATTTTCTTGTCATAGTACATGCTATGGATGCTTATACTACTTGTTTACATGCTTGGATATCAAATCTAGAATTTTTAATTAATTATTTCTTTGTGTAAGATTTAATTTTTCCGGTTGTTCATAACTTTGTTTAAACATGTAGCATGATATTAAATGACCCCGTGACATGATCATTGACATATATTAAATCTAGATCATTTGGACAAGTAACGAAGATTTTATTTAATATTTAACTTGAATGAAATATTAATTCATGTGGCCTTAACTAGCTTGAAATCAATACGTGTTAGCATATTATATTATGCCCTAGCATGCTCTCCAACATAGGTGAATTTGAGAGAAATCGGAAGTGTTTTGAAATCTAGTAATATTTAATTAATTTGATTAATTAATTTATTCCGAGTGTACTATTCACTCTATTGGATTTTCGGCTTCATTTTATTCATATGCATGCCATATGGTTTCACATATATTTAATCTAGAATATTTGATTAGGTTTTGAAACCTTTCATTTATTATTTCTCTAGTATTAGAGTTTAATACTCATGGCCGTACGTTGCATGAAATGTACTTGTATCGTGTTCTTAAATCAAGTATTGACATGTTTAATAACATACATTAATTTGAGGTTAATTGGATGAGTTTCAAAATCTAGAGATTTTAATTAAAGGAATTAATTAAAATCCATTCAATGGTTCTAAAAGCATGATTAAGTTTCTAACTTGATATTGAACTTGTCCTTAATATGATCCTTGACATAACTTGTTCGTAGAACAATTGGACTTGCCTTGTAACTTTGACAATTTAATCCCTTAAGTTGATTAAATTTCCATTCATGCTTCCATCGAGTTAATCGTACCTTGATCTTGAATC